GCACCACGAAACCCTATTTCCACCACCACAACCTTCTGTACCCGTGAGATCCCATCTTGGGGCCTTTTCCGGCGCTCTGCCGGAGGGGCAATCGATCACGGAGGGCTTCTACATCAACACCATAGCCGCTCCGATGATGTGTGAGTAGTTTACCACAGACCTTCGGGTCCATAGTTATTAGCTAGATGGCTTCTTCTCTCTCTTTGGATCTCAATACAAAGTTCTCCTTGATTCTATTGGAGATCTATTTGATGTAATTCTTTTTGCGGTGTGTTTGTCGAGATCCGATGAATTATGGGTTTATGATCAAGATTATCTTTGAACAATATTTGATTCTTCTATGAATTCTTTTATGCATGATTTAATATCTTTGCAAGTCTCTTCAAATTATCAGTTTGGTTTGGCCTACTAGATTGATCTTTCTTGCAATGGGGGAAGTGCTTAGCTTTGGGTTCAATCTTGCGGTGTCCTTTCCCAGTGACAGCAGGGGCAGAAAGGCAAGTATTGTATTATTGCCATCGAGGATAAAAAGATGGGGTTCATATCATATTGCTTGAGTTTATCCCTCTACATAATGTCATCTTGCCTAATGTGTTACTCTGTTCTTATGAACTTAATACTCTAGATGCATGTTGGATAGCGGTCGACGTGTGGAGTAATAATAGTAGATGCAGAATCGTTTCGGTCTACTTGTCGCGGACGTCATGCCTATATACATGATCATGCCTAGATATTCTCATAACTATGCGCTTTTCTATCAATTGCTCAACAGTAATTTGTTCACCCACCGTAGAATTTGCTATCTTCAGGGAAGCCACTAGTGAAACCTATGGCCCCCGGGTCTATCTTGCATCATATTATATTCCTATCTACTTGTTATTTCTGCCGCCTTTTATTTTGTAATCTTTATTTTCCAATCTATACAACAAAAATACCAAAAATATTTATCTTATTATCTTTATCAGATCTCACTTTTGCAAGTGGCCGTGAAGGGATTGACAACCCCTTTATCGCGTTGGTTGCAAGGTTCTTATTTATTTGTGTAGGTACGAGGGACTTGCGTGTAGTCTCCAACTGGATTGATACCTTGGTTCTCAAAAACTGAGGGAAATACTTATGCTACTTTGCTGCATCACCCTTTCCTCTTCAAGGGAAAACCAACGCATGCTGAAGAGGTAGCACCCCACGGTGGGCGCCAACTGTCGTGGTGGGCGCACGACAGATGCCAAAGGATGGCTAAAGAGAGAGGAGGCTCAAGGGCACTGGTGGGCTCCAGAGGCGAGGTCGGCATGAGCGAGCGCGGGACGCAAGACATACCCAGGTTCGGGGCTCTCCGGAGAGATAACACCCATAGTCCTGCCGAGTGTGGTTGATATCTAACAGTACAGAGTTGCTCCTAGAGCTGTATGGAGGAAAAAGGAAGGCAGGCCAAGGCTCAGGCTGCTCCCTCCCCTTGGGTGTTGCTTGCTATGGGTCTGTGAGTAAGTGATCGCCCGTATGCATGAGGGCTCCTGAGGGGTTTTATAGGTCAACCCCCGGGGTACAATGGTAATGTAACAAGGCCTTGGGGTCAGGTTGTCATCGTCCGGGGAGCCGGTACTGGGACCCACCGGGTGCCAGGGCTCGCCGGGTTCTCCGGGCGCGGAACCCGCCGGGTGTTGGGGTACTATTGGTTGTCTTGTTGATTGTCAGGGAGTGGCCGGGTTGAGTCCGCTACAGTGGCGCTCCATCAGGTCGCCGCTTGCTGGCATTGGCAGTGACGACAGATGTACTGTAGCCACGCCAATCTTGGTCAGTGGGCAGGTGGGGCACTGTTGCCACGCCCGGCTGACCAGAGGCATGGGCGGGGCACTGTTGCCTTGCTCATCTCTGAATGAAGACTCGTCCCATCGTATGACCTGGATGGGACGGGAGCTGACCCGTGGCTGAGTTGGGGAACACGCCAAGGGGAAGCTGGCTTGTTCGGGAAGTCTTGGTGCGCCGGGCTCGGCTGCCATGCGCCGGCCGTCGGGGCCGGGTTGAGGAATTTGGCCGGGTCGAGGGGCTTGGCCGGCTCGAGCGACCCGGCCAAGCGTGAGCCGGATCGAGGGGCGTTGCTGGCCCCGTTGTTTTTGAAAAGGATCCGGTTTCTATTTCCTGCCTTGGGTTCATCCCCCCGATAGACCACGAGTGGCGAAATATGACTGCCGTCATAGGTCGTGCTCATCACGGAACCAAGTATCCCACAGGAGGGAGTCCACGACATACCTGGCATCATCGATGACGGGAGCGGGCACGCGGGGCACGGCGGTGGTTGATCTCCTCACAGCAAGCGTGGCCACTGACCGGGACCGGAGGAACGGGCACGCGGTCCGCTGAGAGATGCCAGTTGTTGGGGAGGTGCATGTCATTCCACAGCAGCGGTGTGCTCGTCTCGCTGTACCTATGGCATATCTCGACCATCACATACGGCCGTTGCTGAGACGGGGCCGCCGACAGGGAAATGTTGAGTGCCGGAGGAGGTGGGGGATGGATGGAGCGGTTGTGGCGGTCGGAGGACGACCCGGCCTCGTGGTCATGCTTCCCCTTGCCAGAGATCCACATCCACACCATGGACGCCAGCGAGGAGGTGGAGGAGCGGTGGCCGGGGTCTAGGGTTTGCGCGTGTCAGGATTCGAGGAGGCACACGGCTTCCAAATTGGAAGTCCGTGAACTGGCCGGTCCACGGCTTCCACATTGAAAAGGACGAGGACCGAGCGGCCGGGTGGCTGACAAGTGGGTCCGCACGCGCGTGCGCCTTGAATATTGGCGGTGGGAAGTATGTGAGCGGCTGACATGCAGGCGCGTGCGCGTCCGTTTGCTATACGCCTAGACGCAAACCAGGAGCAATTTTGCTCTGTAAATGGGTCGAGCCGGACGTCAAATGAACAGAATTTGAGGATGGGGTCGCCCGTTGGGCCGTCGTGTTTGTCTGCTCGGGTTCAAATGAACACGCGAGGATTAGATGGGTCGCGCGTTGAAGTTGGCCTTGGACGCATCGGTCGGACACATGTGAACAATGATCGCCTAGCCAATCCAAACAAACAAAAAAAATAAACCGAGCATCCATTTAAATTGGCGCATTGGACTTGTTCTAAACATTCTTATATTTATTTGTGGATGAGCTCTCAGCTCAGTGGTCAAGGGGCAGTGCTTCCTCCCAGCCGGCGCGTGTTCGAACCTCGGTTCTTACACAGGTCTCACATCTCCTTTATTAAAAATCAGTAGGGGCTTCTTCACCCTATTGGTCTAGTTTTTTTCATTTTTATATTTATTTAGAGAAGCAAGTTAGCCAGCCATGACATAGCTGTTCCAATTTATTAAGTAGAAATGAGTTTTCTCGAGGACCGAGATCAATCAGTCTTTTTGTTCCGCAAGTTGATCAAATTGCATTAAGAGAAGTCAAGTCAATATATAAACAATACATGGATGTATACTCGTTGTATAAGGCTAGTCATAGTGGGAGAGTAACTTAACTAATAACATAGCACACTCCAAGAAATTTTGTTTATGTGGCAAGTAGTTAATGAAAAGTAGTAACATAATATGTTACTGTAACATAACGTTTCTCAATACAAGATGAGTCTACAAGCTAAGAGGGTGCTTGGATCCAAGGGACTATTTTTAGTCTGACTAAAAATAGTCTCTTTTAAAGGCTAAAGTTCCAAGCACCCCTGACTAAAGAGAGGCTAGGACTAGTCTTGAGACTAAAATTTTTTAGTCATAAGAAACCTACTAAAATATGTATTAGCCCTCTCTTTCCTTATTTAATTCTCTCCTTTAACACATGCGAGTTCTGGATTGAAGGGTTTTGAGGATAATAAATGCTCAATAACTTGATTTTAGTCTCTTTAGTATTTGGATCCAAGCATGGGTGAGGCTAGCAAGTTTTAGTCCCACTATTTTTAGTCATGAGACTAAAACGTATCCAAGCACCCTCTAATAAATGAAGCCATCTATGACACTAGTACTATGCTACTTTGCACTATAAAGGTAGTAACTTAGACTAGTGTCATATACATGCCACTACTACCTCCGTTTCAGTTTACAAGTCCTGCACATATACCTACGTTGTCAATTTTATCAATCTAATATAACCTATATAACACAAAAATTATACCGTCTGAAAATAAAACATCTAAAGTTTATATTGGTATATTTTTTGTGATATATGACTTGTATTAGGTTGGTCAAATTGACGACCTAGAAGTACGCGCACGTTCTATAAACTGAGAGAGAGGTAGTACTCTCTCCGTCACGTTTTAGTAGACGCGCTTGTAAATTCTCTGGGACCTAGATGGTTATCTATTGATTATGAAATGGGCTAAAAAATAGTATTCACACTACGCATGCATATAAAAATAGTATATCGGAGTACTAATTAGCTACTAGAAATAAATGCAATGCGCCCTAAACCTTATCTATTATGGAAACACACGCAAATTTAACTGTGCCTTCTAAACTGTGATGAGGGAGTACTATAAGTTACTCCCCACTATGACCAGCCTAAATGTGAATCAATTGCATCTACGCTACTAGCTCTGTACACACCACATTGATTGAACCCAAAGATCGATGGCTCGATTGAGATTTTCGTCCACTCGCCGGTTCATGGCAATTCGTCTTGTGCGATGGCGAATGATTCTTCTGATGCTCGCAGTAGCAGCCGCAGCACTATGGTGGTCATCATCGCGGCCGCGGATGCATCCCGTGGTGCTGGTGCCGGGCTACGCCAGCAACGAGCTCGACGCGCGGCTCACCGAGCTCTACCGGCCGGGGTGCGGCGCGCACAAGTCCGGCTGGTTCCGCCTCTTCCTCAACTACACAGCTCTCCACGACGACCCCGCCGGCGTCCGGTGCTTCGCCGACCAGATGAGCACGGTGTATGACGCCGCGTCCCCGGCGTCGAGACGCGCGTCCCCTTTTTCGGCTCCACCCATGGATTCCGCCACCCAGATCCAGACCGGAGGAATTTCTCCTACATGGACAAGCTGTTGGAGAGGCTCGAGGGGGCCGGGTACCGCGACGGAGCGGCCATGTTCGGCGCGCCGTACGACTTCCGCTACGCCGTCGCGCCGGCCGGCCATCCATCCAGAATAGGCACCGAGTTCTTCAGGAGCCTCAAGAGCCTGGTGGAGAGGGCGAGCCAGCTCAACGGCGACCGCCCCGCGATCATCGTCACCCACAGCTACGGCGGCACACTGGCACACCAGTTCCTGATCCGGCAGCCCCTGGCGTGGCGCCGGCGGTTCGTGAGGCACTTCATCCCCATCGCCGCTCCGTGGGGAGGACTCGTGCTGGGCATGCAGGCCCTGCGGAAGGAGTACCGGAGCCTGCAGAGCAGCCTGTGGCCGCTGCCCAGCGCGAAGGTGTTCGGAGCCGGGCAGCCACTGGTGAGCACTAAGCACCGAAACTACTCGGCCAGCGACGTGGTGGGCTTCCTCCGCGACATTGGGTTCGGCGAAGGCGTCGGGCCGTACGAGTCGCGCGTGCTGCCGCTGTTCGAGGAGCTGCCGGTCTGTCCGAGGGTGCCGGTGACATGCGTCGTGGGGGTCGGGGTGCCGACGCCGGAGAGGATGGTGTACCCGAGGGATGATTTCGAGGGGACGCCCGGCGTGGATGTTGGAGACGGTGACGGCCTGGTCAACCTGGCGAGCCTAGTGGCGGTGGAGCCGGAGTGGAGGCGTGGTGGTCCTTATTTTAGGATGGTCAAGGTGGCCAGCGTGAACCACGCGGCCATTCTGGTTGACGATCGTGCGCTTGGGATTGTCATCAGAGAAATTCAACGAGCTAATTAGTTCAACAAACCTTTATATTAATCAATTCAGTTTGTCTAATTCACATCTAGATGTTTTTTAATGATGTCACATCTAACCTTTTAAAAATAACTACGCAGCAACAAGAAATAAAAAAAAGTTAGGACAAAAAAAAATACACCACAAACATAGTGCTTACCAGGTTAGATGTGACATAACTATGTCACATCTAGATGTGTCCTAAACATACCCTAATCAATTTGACGCCAGTAAGTAGAGTACTTACCTGGTGCTCTTATCTTGGCCTCTACTAAAGGTCCCCACAACGATTACCAGCTGGCCCTTTGACACAATCTGGATGATCTGGGTGTGATGACCTCTGTAATTCTTTATTGACAACGTATCATTGCTATTCATAATCAACTTTTCCTAGGAGGCAAGCAAGTGGTAGTTTATCCCCATTTTTGCTTTGACAGGAGAGTAGATCAGCGTTTAAACGGGGCCAATGCTCTCACTTTTTTCTTTTTTTTTCTTTTTGCAAACTGAGGGCATCTCCAACGGCGACCCACAAATTTCCTTCCGGATATGTTCATGAAACAGGGGGACCAGTCCGCGTAAACGAATACGGGAGGGGGTCATCCAACGTTGTCTGCATACATTTCAAACACTATTTCAATAATGACCGAACAATATTCCCCGAAAACTTAGGAGCCTCCTGGCTGGCTATTACAGTTTCGAGGGGAAATAGTGGCGCACGACCAATCCGACGGAGACAGCGCACAACAAGTAGCGGGGGAGTGGAAGGGGAAGAAAGCTCAGAGAAACTCTCTTTTTCTCTAACGATGGCGTATTGGAAATGGAAAAAATGTTAATATTTGGACTTGATCCATGGATTCCTAGTAGACCTGACTGAAGGGTCATATCCCCATGGCCTCTTTTTTAAGGTTAGTGGGATGAGATCCTTGCCTCTCTTTTTTTTTTTGCTCGGTAGATGTCCAGAGAATTCTGAGTATACCACGTAAATTACATGGCGTTTGATGACTTCATAGGGTGGCATTTTACTCGCAATGGGATTTTTTCAGTTCGGTCTACTTATCATGTGGAGTGTGGTCTCACCAATTTAGGAGGAGTGGTATTAATCTGTCAACACCAGGACCTTTAGTTAATAACCCTGTTTGGAAAGCTCTATGGAATTTGTCGGTGCCTCGTAAAATCCAGGTGTTCTGTTGGCGGGTATTGCACCGAATAATCCTGCTAAAGTCTATACTTGCAAACCGCCATGTGGGTACTGATGGAACTTGTCCCATTTGCAAACAAGGTCCGGAAGATATTAAATATTTGATGTTTACTTGCGGCCAAGCCATGGACCTTTGGAGTGCGCTGGGCATATCTCACGTAATAATTGATGTCTTGCATATTGACCGCTCTGGGTCAATAATTTTTTAACAGATTTTCCGCGAAATAAACAAGCCGATTCAATGCATGCCTACTGTAAGAGTACATGAAATAATAGCCATCGGAGGCTTATGGTGGCTCCGCCGGCAAACTAACCACAACGAATCAGTTCCTCCAATAAGTAAATGGCCACTATCTATCTTGGGTATTACAGTTCATGCAACACGAGCTGGCTGTGGGAATCATGTGCACTCTCAGATTAGATGGACTAAACCTAATCCAAGTTTTGGTAAACTAAATTTAGATGCATCATACCACACAGAGGAAGGCACGCGAGCTACGACTATTCTCACTAGAGATTTATCATGCAAATTTCTTACTGGGAAATGCACATTTTACTTGCAGATGCCGTTACAATGGAGGCAACGGCTATGAAAGAGGGGCTGATATTGCCTAACTTTATGAGGTTTCAAAGAGTTACAGCTGAGTCCGATTCAACTGAAGTCATTAATTTTTGCACTGGACAATCATAATGATGAGATCCAGCAGCAGCTATTTATGCAGAATGCGTTGTCGTGGTTTTCATGATTGGGAAGGTCAGACTTTATTCATTGTCCTAGAAAAGCCAGCAGTGTTGCTCATAAGCTAGCTAGACATAGTTTTTTGAATAAATTATCTTGTAATTGGGACGATGTTCCCCCAGCTGATTATACTTAAGCTCGTGGATGATGTAATGTTGCTTAATAATCAATGAAGCTAGCCATGATGACCTTCCTCGAAAAAAGTCATTTTAAAGATTTGAATATAGACTACATACTAAAATACATAAATGAATTAATCTATACACTAAAATATATCTATATACATCCGTATATTGTCTGTATTAAAATCTCTAAAAAGCCTTATATTTTGAAAGCCTTATATATATTTTGAAACGGGGTAGTATATAAGGGTTTTTTTTCCACCATATTTTTAGATCGGAAGCTACAGACTTCTTAGGTGAAAAATACAATTATTATTTTTGAAATCTTTAAGTTTAGCCAGATTTTAATCGATATCAAGTGAAAAAAATTCCATTCAGTGCTTTGCCGAAATGCAAACTGATTTTTTTCTTCAAAATATTCAGTGGTGGCAAATATATTTCAATACGGGAGTTAGAAACCATGCAAACATCATCGACTAGAGAGACACACAAACATCTTATTTAAGGCTTGCCAAGCAACAAATCTGAACGCATTATGAAGACATTGTTCCATCTCAAGAGTTTCCACGACCACGCACACGCAAAGCACAAAAACCGCACGCTGGTGCAATTCCAGCCACACACAAGCTTATTGCCTTATTAGCGACACCGACAAGAAAATGCCATACAGATCAGAGATCCGATCCCATGATGCAAAACCCTGCCTAGCAAATCACAGCTTCTTCGGAACCATTTGTGCGGCAAGCTTCTTGACGGCCGGCCTCGCCATGAGGCTCTCCCACCAGGCCTTGACGTGCGGGTACGAGTCGAAGAGGGCCGCGTGAGGCGTGGCCATGAAATAGAAGGTGTATGGGAAATGGTTGAGGTCCGCGAAGCTGACGAAGTCCCCGGCCAGGTACTTGTGCTTGGAGAGGTGTGCCTCGTAGACCTCCAGCACATTCTTCAGCTTCTCCAGGCTCTCGCCCACCACCTTCTGGTTGGTCGGCAGGCCGAGCATGATCGGGTTGATGAGGCACTCGTACACGATCGGCGAGATGGCTGGGTTGTAGCTGTGTGCGTCGACCTCCGTCCATACATCCACCATGGCCGCCTCCTTTAGGTTGCCCTCCCTCAGCAGGTCGACTTGGTTCGTCTTGTATTTGCGAAGCACGTACCTTGAAATTGCGCGTGACTCTGAAAACACAAGAAAACAATTTTTTTTTGAGAATTTGATAAGATATTTGGACACCAAGCGTCCATCGGAAACAAATTTGAGGGCTATAATTCACTTCACTACTCTACTTTCTTTAAAAAAGAAGCATTCACTTTGCTAGCCGGTCCCGTTAAGATGCCGAGAAACAGAGGCCAAGCAGGTACTAACTAACAATTATTTTGACAAGGACAAAGTAACTGAAAAGAGCAAAGGCAAAGTGATTGATCATACCGAAGAGAAGCAGATCCCCATCCTGGAAAGCAGGGATTTGGCCGAACGGCTGAAAGAAACCAAAACATCTTGCATTAGCGCCAAAACAATGTGATACGGGAAACCAGAGGATTTGAGTGGTCGTGGATCTTACGTTTCTGACGCGATGCTCGGGGCTCTTGTGCTCCATGGCCTTGAAATCGATGTTGACCACCTCGTACTCGGCGCCGGCCTCCTCCAGGCACAGCAGCACCCGGGCCACGTTCGTCGACATGGCCGGCCCGAACACCTTCACCGGCGCCATTTTCCTTGGTTGCTAGTACACTCGAGAGAGTGAGATCGGGGTGTGCGTGTGTATGTTTCTGGTGTTTGTGTACTACCTGCGTCCGAGCGGTGTGCAGCATGACGCCAACTCGTTTCCCTTCTTATACGGCGTCTGCGTTTCCGAGTAGTGGTTGGCGGGAGGTTGGGACGTAAGCTCTCCGGAAGGGTGAAGAGGAGGTCGTGAGGTGTGCGGTACGGGGCCGGTCAATTAGTGCATCACGGCTTGGGTCAGCGAGTTCGGTGCTACTCCCTCCATTCCATAATGTAGTGTTTCCTCTATCCACGTGCTTCAACTTTGACCGTAAATTTAACTACCAAGACCGATTGCGGCAGGAGCAAAAATTATATCAGCGAATTCGTATTCGAAAGAAGTTTTCAATTATATAATTTTTTCTCCCGCCGCAGTTGGTCTCGTTAGTTAAATTTAGGGTCAAAGTTGGACCTTGGGAAGTGCAGGCGCACTATATTTTGGAATGGAGGGAGTATTACTTTTCGTGATGTTTCTGGAATAGCGGCCACGATTCATCGGGCGGAGCTACCCAGGCATTCCTTCTTTCAGCCCAATTTTTTTTCCACAAATACGCATGTTGCGTATCATTTCATTAACTAGTAATCCCCCATGCGTTGCTGCGGGAATTGATCACAATATATTTTGATGAGATTTGATTTTATAAAACATGATTATTTGCTTGGTAATATGAGAAGTAAAACTAAAAAATAAATATGATTGATTTTATTTAATTATTGAGGTTACATGTGTACATGTCTATTTAGCTGACATTAAGGGCCAGTTCTTTTCAGCGATTCTCCCAAAATTACCCCTACCCCAGCTTCTCCCAGAATCGTCACTCCATATTTTTTTTACAATCCTATCTAGTTAAGGTCTAATTAGCTAGGATTGTAAAAAATATATGGAGTAGTGATTCTGGGAGAAGCTCGGGAGGGGGGCGATTCTGCTAGAATCGCCCAAAAGAACTGGCCCTAAGGGTCTTATTGGATTATCAATGTTTGATTGCCGAGAGGTTATCTAAGAGTGTCATCAATGACATAATGCACTTCATAAAAACAGGTTTGAGAAGAAAGGGGAGGGGGGGGACGGGGTTGAGGAATAGTGTTTCATTGTATTTGCAGGTGGCAAGTAGATATTAGTACAATACATTTATAAAGCTCAAAACTAAAAAAATGTGCCCCAACATTTTTCCCATCGAATTGCTTGAT